GGGATGATTGCAGTTCCACTTGTCCGGAAGGTCGATTTGGACCTGGATGTTCTCAGGTAATGATGGCTTGATTTGCAGATTAAAGCAATATCTTTCCTATCAGACATCCCATTGATGTAAAAAAAGATAACCACCGAAGACTTTATTCGTTCCGTGCCGTCGAAGCCAAATTAAATCACATCAGTGGCTTGTTAGTCTATTACTCATCGATTCAAATATTTAGTTTGGGTTCAGTGGTCAAAGGAATGTTGACGACTCTTTATGGACCTACACGTTCTACCACGCTCATTATTTATGTTCCTCCTCCTCTCGGTTTATGCAGGTTTGTGTCTGCTATAATGGCGGACGCTGTAATCCTGTAAACGGGGCTTGTGATTGTCCTGCCGGGTTCTTTGGACCGCTATGTCAACATAAATGCCCTAGAGGTTGGTGGGGAGCCGGATGCCGTTTCCGATGTACTTGTTTCAATCCACGCAACGGGGAGACAGACTGCGATCCCCTTACCGGACGGTGTATCTGCAAGCCTGGCTACACTGGTGATAGGTGCGATCAAGGTAGGCGCCGGCGACTTATGAACGAATAACTACTGAAGTCATTTTTGCCATTAAAAGTCATGTATTATGCCTCAACTTTGAACGTCTGTGTATGTCTTCCTTATGTCGCCACAAGGCTAGGCGACAAAACAAACGATGTGACCGTTATTGGTGGATGGGGGTGCGCCGTCCCTTTATTGACTAACGTTCAAGGTCAAGGGAGGGATACTGCACTCTAATTGGCTCGTGGAACATCCATTGCAATGCAATTAGCCAATTCCTTAAGACTATATTGAGCTGCCGCATTACCATGTAAACTTTGCAATCGGAAATTATTGATATCTTATTTTTTAGTATGTCCGCGAGGCTACCATGGTGAGAAATGTGCTCAGAGATGCAAATACTGCGAAGATTGCCACTTCGAGACAGGTCGTTGCCTCTGTGATCTGGGCCAACGTGGAAAAAACTGCAAACGGAGTAAGAAGATGCCTCGGCGACGTGACTTCTCCTACTCGCGTGATTTTTTTCTGTCTTCCACCATCACCACTTCACCTCCTAGTGACAAGCAAATTCGTCATGCGCCTCGAATAAGACCACTTGCAGTAAACCTTACTGAATGTAGTCCAACATCGGTGTCGTCATTCTTGCTGTTGTTGTTCTAGGTTTCATCGAATAGGTTTCTCTGGGGGAGAGGATGAATGAGTGAAATATTTGTCTTGTCACTGATAGAAGGGGAAAAAACCGTCAGTCACCTATGCTCAGATTCAAGTCTAATCTAAAACTTTTATAAGGGTGAAACAAAAAC